TCCTTCTGAGAGCGAGCAGTCATGCGTTTGGAAGGTGCTTTCAGAGGAGCCTTGGTGAGTCGTTGCAATACATCTCGTAGGTGGTGCACACTATTGCCACTGTACGTTGGTGGAGTAGGAAGTGAATATTTAAGGTGGTAGATGGAGTGGTGCTAATCAAGTAAACTGCTTTGACCAGGATGCTGTCAAGCTTATTGTGAGTTATTGGAACTGCACTTATCCAGGTAAACAAACAATATTCCATCATATGCCTGATCTGCATAATTCCAAACATCAACACATTTCAAGCCTCTGACCTGCTCTTGTAGCCAATATTTATATGAATGATCTAGTTCAGTTTCTGGTGAATAGTGATCCCCAGAATGGTGTTAGTTAGTGGTTCAGCACTGATATTGCCATTGAATATCAAGGGGGAACTTGTTATATACTCTCTTGTTGGAGATAGTCACTGTTTGATACAAATATTGCTTACAGATTATCAGCGCAAGTCTGAATGTTGTCCAGATCTTGCTGTATATGTACAGGGACTGGTTCAGTGTCTGTAGAATCACAAATGATGCTGAACATTGTGTAATCATCATAAGCATCCTCACTTTGGAGCTGATAATGGAAGGAAGGTCATCGATGAAGCCATTAAAGGTCATTGGACCTTGGACACTACGATGAGGGACTTCTGCAGTGATGTCCTGGGACAGGGATGATTGGTGTCCAACAGTAAGACCACCTCCCTTGGTGCTGGATATGACACCAACCGATGGAGACCTCGCTCTCTGATTACCATTAACTTTCATTTTGTGAGCATTCCTTGTTGGATATTTGGTCGAATGCTGCCTCACTTTCTAGGGCAGTCACTCCTAACTCATTTCTGGAGTTCAGTTCTTTTGTCCATGTTTCGATCATCAGTATAATGACATCAGGAGTACTATGGCTGTGGCAAAACCAAAACTGAGCATCACTGTACAGGTTATTATTGAGTAAGTGTTGCTTGATAACACCGTGAACAATCATTTCTTTTGGTTTGCTAATGATCATGAGTAAGCTGATGAGGCAGTAATTGGCCAGGTTAGATTTACCCTGCTTTTTAATTGGTGAGAAGTTCCAGGACAATTTTCCACATCGTTGGGTCGATTCCAGTGTCATCTTTGTCCTGGAACAACTTGGCACAGCTAGTTCTGGAGCACATATCTTCGGTACTATTTCCAGAATCTTGTCAGGATTCATAGACTTTGCAGAATACAATACCACATTAAGTGAATCAAATTGTTTGAAGTCTGGCATCTGTGAGGCTGGGTTTGTCAGGTCATCCACTTGGCACTTCGGGTTGTGCATGGTTGCAAGTGCTCAGCCTTGCACTGATGTTCTAAGCTCTCCTTCGCTGAAGATGGGAACATTTATGGGACCTCCACCACCTTAATTGTTCAATTATCCATCACCATTAGAGCTGGATGTGGCAGGATTACAGAGATGTTTGGATTTTCAGAAGCTTTTTGATAAGGTGCCATACATTAGTTTCATAAGATAAGAGCCTATGGTGTTGGATATAGTATAACAGCGTAAATAGAGGATTGAGCAACTAATAGAAGGCAAAGAGTTAGGATAAAAGGGGTGGGTCATTTCCAGGCTGGCAACCTGCAACTAGTGGTGTGCTACAGAGATCAGTGTTGGGGGCACAATTATTTCCAATATATATTAATGACTTGGATGAAGACAGTGAATATACTATAACAAAGTTTGAAGATGACATAAAAATATTCAGGAAGGCAAATAGTGAGAATGACACAAGGAGGCTGCAGAGAGATACAGACAGGTTAACTGAATGGGCACAAACTTGGCAGATGAAATATGAGGCTATGCACTGTGGCAGGAGGAATAGAAGAGCTGAGCTGAGAAAGACCGCAGAAAGCTACAGAACAGATAGATTTGGGAGTCCTCATCTATGAATCACAAAAATCTAGCATCTAAGTTCAGTGGGTAATGGGGAAAGCAAATGGGATGTTGGCCTTTATTTCAAAGGTTATGGAGTATGAAAGTAGGGAGGGTAAGCTAAAACTGTGGAAGACACTAATCAGAAGATAACTGGAATGCTGTGAATTGTTAAGGTCCCCTGAAAGATTTACTGGCATTGGAGGCTGGTTCACTGGGATGATACTAGGTACAGAGGGGCTGTCTATTGAGTAAAGGCGAGGTAGATTGGGCCTGTACTTGTTGGAATATAGACAAATGACAGGTGACCTTATTGAAAAATGCAAAATTCTAAGAGGATTTGGCAGGATATGTGAGGACAGGTTTTTTCCCCTTGTAGGAGAGTCTAGAACCAAAGGACATATCTTAGAATAATGGGTCACACTGTCTCAGATTGTAGTGAATCTGCAGAATTTGTTGCCACAGTGCACTGTTGAAGCTGGGTCATTAAGTATATTTAAGACTGAGGTAGACAGGTTTCTAATTAGTAAGGGAATCAAAAGTTATGGAGAAAAAGCAGGAAAGTGGAATTGAGGATTATCAGATCAGCCATGACCTTTTTGGAATGGTGGAGCAGACTTGTTGGGCTGAATGGTCTACTTCTGCTCCTATGCTGTATTATCTTAGGTCTGAGCCACTGGAGGTGGGATTGCTTAGCTTTGTGTATCGCATACTGCTTCCACCATTTGACAAACAAACAGGCAGGTGTGGAAGTTTCACCAGGTTGGCACATCCCATGAGAATTCCCTTCTGTCTGGATAGCACTGCATAGTCCCCTCTGCTGGATCAGTACTGCTAGTGAGAACATAATATACCCAAGGATGCTGGTGGTGGTATCTGAGGTAATATCCATTGGGAACGATTCAGTGAGCATGACTGTATCAGGCTGTTGCTTGACCAGTTTGTGGGATAGCTCTCCCAATCTTGACAGAAGTTTCCAGATGTTTGTCAGCAGGACTTTGCAGGGTCAACAACACTTGGACACTGTTGTCAGTTTTGGTCCCTAGGTCAATGCCAGACCTTGTGCTGTTTTCATTCCCTTTACCTCTTCTCTAGCAGTTTGACATTAACAGCTTGCTTGGCTAGTTTGGAGAGCTGTCAACGAGACAACCACATACATGCAACAAACATGTGACAAATGTTTTTGCCAAAAATAATATCTTCCTGTGCCTGACATGAGTGATGTTAACTACAGTGAATGTTCAAAATCAGGTTATTTAAATATTTTGACAGGGCTCCAGCAGGATTCCGGCTTTACAGTGAATGAATCTTCTTGTGGCACTATCTATCAGCTTTATCAAACAAGGGAGGTGAATGGACTTATAATTCAGGTCAACCATGACTTTACTGAATGCCAGAACAGATCTGATGGGCCGATTGGTCTACTCTGTTAGTCTGCCAGTACCTAATAATTAAAGTCCTCTTCCATGGGTGTTAATCAACTGTAGCTGAATTTTCAACCTAATATATCTTGTTTCTTCTTATTAACAGGGACAAAGAAGTTTAAAATCAAGGCTAAATGAAGCTGCTGAATGATAAATTCATAAATTTGTTTTCAGTGTTCTGCAGAAGCTGGGGAATGTAGTTTACAGGCTATGATTTTGATTTTCACTTTATTTGTCACGTATGCTGTGGCTTGTTAAAGATCAATTTGAACAACATGAGGGCATTCAGTAATGAAAAGAAATAGAAACGTCCAATTTTATGAACAAAGTTCAACTGCAATTTCTAACATTTGGGCGAATTCAAATAATGCAACGCCTCCATTGAATGATCCTACTGTGGTCTGCAAGGTCCTAGTGCCTGCACAGTCATGTTGCTATTCCAAATCATTGCTGTTTATTTCAGACTGGATTCAGGAATTTTACTGCTTCATAGCAAATTGTTATCCATTACAACTGTCTTGTCATTCTGTAAATTATATATAGACTTTCCCTCATATTTGGTGTTTTGTTTTGTAGCCATTTGTCCCATTATTTGGCTAAAACTCTGAAGTATCGATACAAAGAATTAATAAAAATATCGTAAAGCTGGATAGATTGTTAATGACCTGCATCTGGCGTTAAAACAGGAACAAAAACAGAAGTTGCTGGAAAAGCTCAGCAGGTCTGGCAGCATCTGTGAAGAAAAAAATAAGAGTTAACATTTCGGGTCCGGTGACCCTTCCTCGGAACACCGGACCCGAAACGTTAACTCTGTTTTCTCCTCCACAGATGCTGCTAGACCTGCTGGGCTTTTCCAGCAACTTTGTTTTTGTTCCTGATTTACAGCATCCGCAGTTTTTTTCGGTTTTTATTTTGCATCTGGCATTGTTCATTGTTGTATTTTCATAGAAACACAAACAGAGCAAAGAATTTACAAGACTAAAGCACATTGAGAGCTTTAGATTAGACTAAAGCACAAAGAATAGAGCTTGAGAAATTTATGAACAGCAGTTGAATCTCGAAATTCAGTTACAGCTTTTACTTCTAGCCTAAGGATGTTTATTTATCTAAAATTTTAAATGAAGCTTTTGAGCTTTTGATGGAGAGATAAAAGACTGTTGTACGACTATCTTCACCTATACATGATGTTAAATGGATATACATATACATATAAATATCCATGATGTACAATGATAGGGTTTTCAAGTTGCTTAATGTTAAACAATTGAATGTGACATTACAAGATGTAGAGATTCTTGCAAAATTGTTGTATTTCCCTTATTCATGTCAACTTATAGATATTTTTAATAATCTTTTCAAGCATGTTACTTCACACCTCTGGAGTAGGCTTCATTTTAGAGGAGTGTTTAGGGCCACAGTTAACTTAGCTAGTGAGGTACGCTGCTTATTGTACGGTTAGTCATTAAGTTAAAGCAATCGAATATATTTGAAATCGATCTGAACATCTAGCTCGGTCGAGAAAGAGATGTTACTTTTGTTTGAAGCGAAATGTAAACATTTCATGGAGCGGTGAGCTGGGCACTAGGACCTGGTACGCCCTGAGCTAGGGAGAGGAAGCGGTTACTAGTAACCAGGCTGAGAGCGAGAGGATGAAGAAGGGCTCGGTAGCATCAGCCCGAATGCAGGAGGTTTCCATCCGCAGCAGGCAGCTCTCACTGTGACAGGGGGAGTTCACCCAGTCGCGGGGAACAAGCGAAAACAGCTTATTCCGGAGAACGGGTTGACAAAGTGAGTAAGCTGGAAAGCTCCTATTGTTTGCATTTTCCTGCGTCCAAATGTCTGAGACTCGCCGTCCCAATCGTTACTTGGCCTGTAGAAAGTGATGTGTTGATTTCAAAAATCGAAGTGAATTACATTGACAATGTCGTCAGAAGTTACGTGACACCAGGTTATAGACCAACCTGACCAAGGAGCTTGTGATTTCAAATAAACCTATTGGTCTATAACCTGCTGTCTTGTCTCTTCTGACTTGTTCTGACCCAGTCCAACACCGGCACCTCCACATCACCGTCACTTTAACCAGCATTGTGAGAAGCTCGGATTTTCGGCGCAGCTTTCTTATTAATACGTTTATTGTGTTGCCTCTCTTATCTGATGGATTGCAAGCGAACACACGGAGTGCTGAATGTTATAGTGACCAAGTGCTGATGGTTTCTCCGCTTCAAGTGAGTACAAGTGGGGGTCACAATCTCAAGAGGACCACACCCCTTTTTGCCTTTCACCTTTTAAAAAGGATGTAGAGGGAAAACAATAGAATAATTGTTCTGGAGAAGTCAGACCAGACTGGAAACATAAAGTCTCCTTCCACAGGTACTGCCAGACCCGCTGAGTTGCTCTCGCGTTCTCTTCGTTATGTTTTAGGATTCCAACGCTGCTATACTTCGCCTTTAATAGAATCATGAGTATTTCTCGATGTGATCATTGTGGCTTTTAAGTCAGTCGTTTTGATGTGAATTAATTGTAAAAATGTGCACTGTTTCAGTTCTGCAGAAGTCATGTTGGACTTGAAAAGTTGACTGCGCTTCTATCTTCTCAAAAGCGGCCAGGTCTGTTGACTTTAGCACTTTCTGTTCTTACTTCAGGATTGGCTTTCTTATTTAAGGAAGCAAATACATGCATTGGAAAGCTGTTCAGAGCAAATTTCCACCTGGATTGCATGGGTTGTCTTATGAGGAAAAGTTGGACACCTCTGGCTTGTATCTGTTGCAGTTAGCAGAGCAAAGCAATTTGGGTTGAAGTCTACAAAAATGTTAGAGTCATAGAACCATACAAGTGTCATAGAGTCATATCACATGGAAACAGACCCTTCGGTCCAACTCGTCCATGCTGATCAAGTTTTTCAAACTCTCCTCACTTGCCTGCATTTGGTGCATGTCCCTGTAAACCTTTCCTATTCATGTACCTTTCTGGATTTCTTTTAACTTGCATCTACAACTTCCTCTGGCAGTTCATTCCAAATAAAAAAAAGCCTCTGTGTGAAAGAGTTGCCCCTCAGGTTCCTTTCAAATCTTTTTCCTCTCACCTTAAAGATATGCCCTCTTGTTTTGAATTCCCCCAGCCTAGGGAAAAGACCTTGCTATTCATCTTATCCATGCCTGTAATGATTTTATAGACCTCTATAAGGTCGTTCTTCAACCTCCTGCATTCCAGTGAAAAATGTCCCAGCCTCTCCTTATGGCACAAACCCTTCATTCATGGCAACATCCTTGTAAATCTTTTATGAACCCTGTCCAATTTAATAATATCCTTCCCATAGTAGAACAACCAGAACTGTACACACTAATCCAAATTTGTCCTCACCAACGTCCTGTATAACCTCAACATGACGTTCCAACTCCTATACTCTATGGTTTGAGCCATGAGGGCAAGTGTGCTAAATGCCTTCTTAACCACCTCATCCACCTGTGACACAACTTTCTGAGAACCATGTACCTGAACTCCTAGGTCTGTCTGTTTGACAACCCTACTCATGTAAAAACAATGTTTCTTCTTCTGTGATAATCTAAAACAACAGGGGAAGCTTTAAAAATGAGGAGTCATCCACATATGACAAAGATGAAAAATTTATCTCACAGGGCTGTGAGTCTTTTGAACGCTTCCTGAAAAGGCAATGTTTGAACATTTTTACGGCAGAGATTCATGATAAAGGGTGAAAAGTTATTTAGGTAGGCAACAATGTGGATTTGGGATTAAAATCAGATCAGCCTTGATCTTATTGAATGGCAGAGCACACTGAAGAATCCTCCCACCTCACTGACCAAACCCCACCCCCACTTCCTACCCACTAGCCTCATCCCTGCCTCGTTGACCTGTCCGTCTTCCCTGCCACCTACCCGCCCCTTCCTCCCAACTGACCAACCCCCATCCCAACTCCCTACTTACACTCACCTTTACTGGCTCCATCCCTGCCTTCTTGACTTGTCCGTCTTCTCTCTACCTATCTGCTCCTCTATCCACCTTCCATCATCGCCTCCCCCATCTCTATTTATTTCAGAGACCCCTTCCCCTCCCCCATTTCTGAAGAAGGGTCTAGACCCGAAACATCAGATTTCCTGCACCTCTGATGCTGCCTGGCCTGCTGTGTTCATCCAGCTCCACACCTTATTATCTCAGACTCCAGCATCGGCAGTTCTTACTATCTCACACTGAAAGATCTGATTGGCTTAATACTGTTTGTAATTCCTATGTTTGTATTCCCAGCATCTGTAGCATTTTGTTTTTATATAATATGCTTTCCAGTTGTTTGTGGCTTTGCAACTTGTCACTTATATTTCCCCAATTTGACGGGGGATGGTTAGTGGAGAACGTCAGGAAACTGAATGAATCGATATGAGATGTTAATTTATGAATCTGTTTTATTGATATCAGCATAACAGCAACAATGTACAAATGACAACCTCACCATTCAAACACGTTTGGGCATGTGTCGCAGAAATATTTGCCAGACAAGACTCATTTGCTCAGTCCATCTGCTCTATATCCCCAATTTCCTCTGGGATTGGGAAGCATTGTGCTTTCGTTTAGCAGTTGCTGGGGATGACGTGGAGCAAATAATGTGCAATGTTTTCAGGCATGTCTAAGTATCAGAACAATAGAGCACAGGTTTGAACTTGTGAAGTGGCAAAGCTTGGGGCAGACAGGAGAGCATGGCCCTGGGATGATTGAAGTTTAGAACCCGCTTCCTAATTGCCAGTTGATACTGGTTCACAAGTGACATTTAATAGATTTCTGATACGCAAGGGACTATTGTGTGTGTTCATTGAATAGCTCAAGGAGCTAAATGATGTTTTTCTGTTCCAATTATTCTATCTTCCTATTTTCTTACATTCCCAGAAGAAGCAGATACTAATCAGACAAAATGACACATCCTACCCCTAAATATTTGATAGTTGAGTCTTCAGCCACTTTGACTCTACTCTCTGGACTCTTTCCTCAACACTTTTTTCTTAATAGAATCCCTACAGTGTGGAAACAGGCCCTTCGGCCCAACAAATCCACACTGACCCTCGGAGCATCCCACCCAGACCCATGGGAAGGTGCAACACCTGCCCATTTCCCTCCTCCCTCCCCAGTGTCCAAGGGCCCAAACATACCTTCCAGGTGAAGCAACACTTTACCTGCACTTCCCAGAATCCAGTCTATTGCATCCACTGCTCACAATGTGGTCTCCTCTACATTGGGGAACCAAAGCATAGGCTGCATGGCTGCTTCGGAGAACATCTACATTCTGCTCGCAAAAAAAGACCCTGAACTACCCGTTGCCTGCCACTTTAACACACCACCCTGTTCCCTGACCAATATCTCTGTCTCTGGCTTGCTGCAGTGTTCCAGCGAAGCTCAATGCAATCTAGAAAAACAACACCTCGTTTTGTGCTTGGGGACCCTGCAGCCCTCCGGACTCAATATCGAGATCAATAATTTTAGGGCCTAAACTCTCCCATGTCCCAGCCGCCTACCCCACACATCAGGCCTTGTTACCATTTAGCCTGCCATTACACACCCCCTGTTGTTAGTCACTAATAGTCCCCATTTACAGCTATTCACCCTCCCAGCCTGATTGTTATCAACTCTTTGTCCGTCCAACTGCTCTTCTCTTTCTTTAGGCTTTATCCTATCGTTTACTCCCTACCCATTCCCCTCCTTTTTTCTGCATATAAACAGACATTTTCCCAGCCAACATCAGTTCTGAGGAAGGGTCACCGGACCCGAAACGTTAACTCTTGTTTTTTTCCTTCACAGATGCTGCCAGACCTGCTGGGCTTTATAGATGTGAGGTACTTGAAATTGAACCATATAATGAACAAACCAACATTCTGGAGCATAAGAGATAACAAGGTGTAGAGCTGGATGAACGCAGCAGGCCAAGCGGCATCAGAGGAGCAGGAAGGCTAATGTTTTGGGCCTAGACCCTTCTTCAGAAAATGGAAGGGTCTGAAGAATTTTCTGAAGAAGGGTCTAGGCCCGCAACGTCAGCCTTCCTGCTCCTCTGATGCTGCTTGGCCTGCTGTGTTCATCCAGCTCTATACCTTGTTATCTCAGATTCTCCAGCATCTGCAGTTCCTACTATCTCTGAAACATTCTGGAGCATTGTGAAAGACTACCTTCTGACCTTTCTGCATCATGCTTTTTAAAATGCCTTGGATTGTTCTGAAGATTTCTACCTAGGGTATTACTTGGTTAAGTTGCTGAACAGGGTTCTTTAAGTTAAATATTGTATGCTGCTTGAAACAGAAAGTGCTGGAAATACTCAGCAGGTCTGGCAACTTCTATGGAGAGAAAAACAGCTGTGTTTCAGGTTGATGACCTTTCATAAAGCATGGAATCTATGGATAAAGCCCATTTAATTCTGATGATTTGTTTTTGTACTAAATTCCCTTGTTGATGCCTTTTCCATGGCTCAACAAATTTATTAAATAATTGAAGAGTATTTTGTAAAAGCGAGGTGAAGATGTTTTGCAAAGGTTTGGTGGCAAGGATTTGTAGATATCTAATGACAAATAGAAAATGTAGGAAATATATAAAATAAGCATGAATATCTGAAAAGAGTAAGGAAAACCTTTTCGCTGTGAATCTCTCATCACAAATGGGTTCAAACCCCAACAACTGATCGATCTTTTCTGGTTATAGATGCTGATGTCTACTGTGTCTTTATGACTATACAAATGTACCTGATAGTGAACATATTAACAATTGCTCATGGGGCATTTTCAAAGTAATTGCTTGCTCTA